TTAAGATAGTGATTAAACGAGTTTGGATTACGGAAAATGTCAGGTGAGACTTCTTGGCACACTGTGTTCCAAATTTTTACAACACGATTGTAGTATGAAGACTGGAAAGTGTTAGTTTTACAGAGTCTACTTTGAAGGATATATCTTGACGTATGGCTCAGTCTAGTACGACCATGACTCACAAAAGACACATAGTTGTCGGTATTGACGTCAATGTAACTAAACAATGATTTGAAGAAGTACACCAAGTCTCTGACTTCTTGATCATAGGTTAAGGGTAGCAGATCTAATGCTAATAACCGTTCTCTGTACGATAGTTCGCCTCGCTTTGTCATTGTTATCCACCTAGTCGCTCTTCTTTGCACTTTTTCAAAACGTCGTGAAACCTGGACGCTGTTAACCGGCGACAATACCTCTGTAGCATAACACAGCTGGGACTTGACCAACGATGAATATAAAGTTCGTCTGGCTTTCATATCCATCAATTTGGTACAAGTTCTTCCGAGAACGCCTAATATTTTGTTGGCCTTCGCGACGATGGTGTTCGCGTGAATGTCCCACGAAAGTTTTGATGTGGTGGTAATTCCAAGATCCTTTTCGCTCTCTACTCGAGTCAGGTTTTGGCTCCCAAGAGTGTAGTAATGAATGATAGGATTTTTCTTTCTGGCGATGGTGAAAACGTTGCACTTAGAGACGTTGAAGCGGAGGTTGTTTTCCATAGTCCAGAGATTAAGATTGGATAGGGAGTGTTGTAAAGACGCACAATCACGTTTACATGTAATGGTTTTGTGCAGTTTGGTGTCATCTGCATACTGATCTGTACCGATTCGGGCTTCTACGATATCAAGTAGATCGTTTATGAATACTACAAACAACAGGGGTCCTAGAATGCTTCCCTGAGGCACACCAGAAGTGACGGAAGACGATTTCGAAGTCGCACCATCCACAACGGCTCTTTGTGTCCTACCATTAAGGTAGTTAGCAAACCAATCAAGAGCTAAGCCAGTCACACCATAACAGCGAAGCTTAGCTAGGAGGATCGTGTGATCTACAGAGTCGAAATGCCTTGGCAAAGTCGAGGTACAATACATCAGTCTGGGTGTTTCTGTCTAGATCTTGTCCGATGACCTGGAGGACAGACAGGAGTTGGGTGACGCAGGATCTATTTCTGAGAAAGCCGTGTTGGGATGACTGATGAGGTGAGCAAAATGATCATAAAATATTGGGTAAACGCGGCCACGTTCCAAGATCTTGCTAACGATAGGCAATAACGAAATCGGCTTATAGTTATCTGCTGGTTCTTTCGAGTCTTTTTTATGTGTGGGGGTCAGATTTATCGATTTCCACTCCGCTGAAATAAAACCAGATTTGAGAGAGGCGTTGAAAAGGACACAGGCTTGGCTATGGGGTAATTTGCTGATGACATTCTTTCAGAAGTCGCGCAGGAATACAGTCAGGATCGCTTGCTTTTGTCACGTGTAGATTGGCCAGGTGGTTAGAGACTTCTTCCTCGTCAACCGTTATTTCTCTAAGTTGTAAGTCAGTTTTTAATTGAGAAGAATCGAAGGCATGACTCCTAGGATGGCTAGAACGTGAAGATTTTAAAACGGAAGAGAAATATGAGTTAAAGAGTTCAGCTTTTTCGGCAGACGTTTTTGCCACTTTGCCTTTGTAGGAGATGACGGGATTGAGAGTCAATTTATGATGAAATATGGCTTTATAATAACAGCAAAAAATTTCGGGTTATCGCGAAACGCGTCCTTAATTTTATCTAGATAATCACGATGTTTTCTTCTCACTAGATATTTTATTGTTTGCCTTAGTTCGCGTAGTTTCCGTTTTCTATGATCAGTTCGACATTGACGATACTTTTTTAGAGCTACGTACTTCTTTCGAATATATGATCTTACTTCGCCATCAATCAAAGGTGCTGAGTACGTGTCCTTAAAACTCTTTAAAAGCAGGCCCCTATAAATTAAACGTAGTACGGCACGTACTATGACACTTAGCCGATCCATATCTCCCGTTTGGTGCACGCTATGTAGATGAAAATACTACAATTCGATTCAGTGGACAATATCTCCAAAATTAATACCTATCGATAGTTTTAGTCAAATACAGTTTTAGCGAAATTGTATAACTATTTATGACCTTGTGATGTTACCCCGAGCGTATATCCACACCTGGCAATGCCAACTGAGCTACACGGTCTGGTCGGTTCGAGTATGTGATATTTTGGAACAGAATTTAGTTCCTTCGATATCAATGTTATCTAATAATAAGGCCACATAAAAAAAATAGTTGGTTAGCGTCCCCGCCCGCCCACAAAAAAACCCCGCTCAGGATTTTTTTATATTTTTTATTTAAAAAAAACCGACATTTATTGATCAACAGGCTCTAATATATGTAGTATTTCTGTTGACTGTAGTCAATTGTGTTAATAATTTGCGAAATTGCGTGCGAAAAAGACGGTATGAATTATATTTTGAAATATATAAAAAAATATCTGTACTGTGCAAGAAAATCCAGTTTCGGACCTAACAGTGGGTAAAATCAAGGCGTTAAAAATTAGTAAAAATTAAAAAAAAAGCGCCCGCCCGCCCACTTTTTGGCAAAAGCTAAGGACGCTAACCAACTATTTTTTTTTATATGGCCTAATCATGATTTTTTTCTGTGTTGGTGTAATGTACTGGCTCAGTTGTCAGAGCATTGGGATAGTATTCCAAAGGTCTTAGGTTCGATTCCCACGTGTGGTCAGGCATATTTTTCAAGCTTGCCCGGGGTGGATATACACTCGGAGTAACATCACAAGCATCATATTCACCTGAGTACATTACACCAACACAGAAAAAAATCTTTATGACCTTTTGACAGGTCAAGCAGTGTCATATTTCATTATATTAATCAATTGTCTCGAACAATGTCCATACCTTTCTATCCATACCTTTCGCCGAACATAACTTCGGCCCCTTTTGAGATATCGTTTTCGCTATAGTCATATTCGAAACAGAATCCAAAACACTATTGAAAGTGTTATTTTCAAGCTTGTAGCCTTAGTTTTTCGTCTTTTTAATTTCGGTATTTCAATCTGTTGCGAAACTAAACGAAATCAACGGGATATGTTTAACCGGAAATACACTTTACATCGCCCAAAAACATCGCGTGTTTACATCCTAGCGCTCGGAAAACATCGGAAATCGATTCTAAAGGTAAAATTACATCTGCAGCGTGATTTTCGCGTGCATTGACTGCATTGGGCTACGGGATACTCCAATTTCACATGCAGCACGCGCGTGCGAGTAAAAACCCGATATACTAAAAAATTCCAAATAAACATTTCTACTCGCCGTAATCAAACGAAACTTTCTACATAAAAGCGCTTGAATACAAGGAATATTTCACTAATATTAACTTGTGGCGAATTCTGAAAAGTTTAGAAAATATTCAGCATTTTCTCCATATGAAAATACTGAATGTTTGGCCAAGCGGTGTGTAAATATATGATTGTTTCAGTGTGCACGTGTATTTGTTTTGATGGCATTAGACCCCCGAAGAAAAGCTTATTTTGCTAGGATTTCAATGGTGTTCTTTGTTTTTAAGGCGGGTGAATACGCGCTGAAATATTTACGTTATAAAACAGTTGAATCAAAATGTTGCTTGCCGTGAAAAATGTCGCATGTCGAGAAAGAGTTTAACTGTTTTTGTTTGGATGAATTTATGTACCGCATTGAAAAACCAATTTTCCATTGTATCCAGCATTCATTACTGTTGTTAGTAAAGACTGCCTGGAATGGTTCCTGTATTACATTACTACGAAGGTCATCAATGTTCCAACGATTGAAGTCAATCCCCGAGCCGGCGGCGCGAAGCGCCGTGCGAGGGTACTAATTCCCCCCGGCTATTTACACCCGGGGGAAACGAAAGCATTAGCGGAGTCTAAAGTTCATCAAATATCGCGGGCGTCGGTCACCAACGATGGGTGGTCATCCTCACTGATCTCAAAAATATGGCGGACTGTCATGAATAACGGACACTGATTGGTCCAATTTAAAGTTTACATTATAACGACTGCATGACGACAGCGAAATAGCAAACATTTCTTGATTTGATGAGTTGATGATTGATAAATTTCTTGCAAATATTCTTCATTTTTGCTCGTATTTCTGCAAGATTTTGTAAATTTCAAGAAAGAAAAGGCGAAAGAATCAGCTAAAAGAAGGGAGCCGACGTTAACGAAGGTAAGTTTGTTTTAAATATTGATTTTATAATGGCTTTAAAACCCGACGGCCTTTGCGTATATGAAACAACTAAACAAGACAGCATATATAAATTTCAGTGTAACTTTAATATTGATTCCCTTTTTTATTATATTGAATTTTTTAAATAAAAAATAAAGCAAAGACCAAAGTTATTTGCAAGCGAGAATTTGTAATCATTTTTATTGCAAACTCAAAGTTTATCGATAAAGCCATTTAATAGTTAAAGGCAGTTTAGTTTTATAAAGAACACTTTAAAACGTTTTGTGAATTGTTTGTGGTTGAATTTTACCTTAAATTGAAGCTTGTATTACGTATAATTATATCCCTAACATATATATGTTGGGAAATTGATAATTTTGTAATTAAAAGTGATATTTTTAGGCGATTTTCATTTGTAAGAATATTCTTAAAAAATTATCGTGTTACCATGACAACTACTTTAGATACTTCATGTTCGGAAAATACAACGGTTTTGTCAGCAAGGCGATGGTTTCTGCATGCATGTATTTTCTAGTAATTGAATATTCATGTTAATGTAGGTATAGCAAGTTAGGGACCGGTCATAAAGTAACTGCTAGGGTGGGCTGGAGGTAAATCACAAATTTTGCCAATAAGTTTGGTGACCCATCTTAGGATGTAGATAAAAATTTCAAAGCCCATCCAATCTTACCAAATTTATTTCATGACCTACCCACCCAATCTAAATTGGGAAAATACACATTTATAATGAAAAAAACTTGCAGGTATGAACATATATCAATACAGTGCCGGTGTATATTTTTGTTTTTTTATCTGCGAAGCAGATTCGAGCTTATATAATTAAGCCAATCAGCAATTAGCTTACATTGTGCTCGCACCTAACCTGTGAACAGGCGTAATTTGGCCTTGTGTATTAAAGTCGTGTTATTCACTTATTCTTTGCCATATTTTGGCTTCAAAAATATGGTTTTATCTTGAATTGGCTGTCTTGTTTTCACCATTCTACTTGTGATATTATTCTGAAGTTATCTATCAACATAGAAACTTATC